CCCCATAGCTGCAGAAAAGGCTAACATTGTTATCTTTTTACAAAAAAACAGCTGAACATGAGAGGTTTTTGGACCAATTTTGTGTTCTCCATTCTTTAAGCACCGGTTTGAGCACCGTTTCAAAAGTACCGGTTTGGCACCAGTATCGGATAAAACCTAAACAATACACATCCCTACTCTTAACAAGTGTTCAGTGTCCCTATTATCCATTAGCAAATTAGTTTTTAAACACAACATGCTGCAAACGCTTTGTGCAGGCACAAATCCTTCACTGAGCCTTGCGGTTTGTTTGTTGTTGTTTTTTTTTAAAATACCTCTTCCGTTGTTCCAGCTCCCAGTCCAGTCGCGCCAGTGTGAGTTGGTGGGGGTCATTTTTTGTGAGTTGAGGCCTGGAAATTTCCGGCGGGGCCTCCTGGTAAAACTCTTCTTCACTCACCAAGTCAATTTCTTCATGCTTAGACCTGGAATATGGAAACGAGTACTCATTACTACTGTGACACATTTCTGAAAATCTAAGTATAAACTAAAAACAAGGGAACTAATAAGCAACTAACGCTATTCTAATTATTCTCTGTAAGTTCAATGAGCAATTTTAAATGAAATCTTTTTTTTTTTTTACTAACTTGAACTCCAGACACTTGCTGATCTCCTTCTGAAGATGCATGACTTCATACAGCAGATTTTGCAGCTGAAGGTGCAGCACATCGACTTTCTGTTTTGCCTGAGGAGAGACAGAGAGATTGTTAAAGTTGACTCGCAAACTCTAAGTAAATATTTTTAGATGCATAATACAATACTGAAGTTTAATTGAAAATGTCTTAAGACTAACAAACTAAATCCAAAGGCATAAAAACCCCGATCGCTGACAGAGGCAGCTGCTACTGTTAGGTGCTACAAGGAAACCAAAGTGCTCAGTGGTCAGTTCTGGTTTCGAGGTCAGCACAAAGGAGGCTTGAGGCAGCACTTTTTTAGTAAGCGAATGAAAGAGTGATAGTAACCTAAGCTGTTACTTGGTTTTACTTGAGAGTGCTTGAGACTTGCGTGGGAGTTACCTCGTGTGTCTGGTCTCTGCCTTTCTTTAGACGCATATGAGCAAGTCGATTGAGCTTTTTCAGATTCATGAAGTGGATGCAGCTCTGTATACGTTTCTTCTCAACCTCTGCACACTGAGGAGACATACAACCAGTCGCCCTTCATTATTATTGAGAAAAGACACAATAAATGCTATGGTGCTTTAGATATACTTATACTACAAACTCTATGTGTAAGGTGTCTGCTGTACACGAATCGTTTGCCATTAAATCAGCATATAATGACACATTCTTACCCCGTCCTTAGCTCCGTTGGCCTTAAGCTCTTGGATCTCACTCATGAGATTAGCCAGACTCTGACATGTTTCTTTGTATTGGATGTAGTCCTGCTGAGGGTCCCTGCCATCAAGCTCCACCTCCTCATGATACACACGCACATCCTGGCCAAAAAAAGTATATAAATTAGTAAGTAAATATATGACATAAATGTATATTAAGTACAAGGTTCACACGGGGGTGGGGGCTGATAACACTAATCAGAAGAGGATGGATGTATAACTATAAGATATTAGTCATGGTTAAACTTGATATCATTTATTTAACTGCTCTGAGAGGTCTAAGTGTGACTAAGTTAAATATGACTTAAAGGTGATATATTTTGCATTTCATACTTTGGTCTATAATATGCTGTGAGATGAGATGAGCTGCAGTATAAAGGATGGATATAAAACACCTTTTTAAAACTGCTAATCATTCAAAGGTATTTCAGTATAGATCCAGAACAAAGACAACATTATAAATTGCTGAAAGCGGTTGAGTGAACTCTAAATTTCTAAGGATAAAATGTAGGATCCACATTATAAAACACACAGGCAGAATATACCCCTTCAGCTGGAACTGACCTCCTGGATCATTTTAACTGCAGTTTAAAAACTCTCTGTTTCCATTAAGATTGAGGCAAAAACACATCATGGAGCACAACCAGTCTACAAAGGCATGTGAGGAGGAGATGCTAGCAGCTGGTGAGGTGCGGCCCAAAGATAAACGAGTGACTCAAACAAACAATGCTACCTACACTTGTTAGTTGTGTTCTGTTTAACAGGAAGAGCAAACTGTGGAAGAAAATTACTAATTCGGGTACATGCTGGTAAAAGGAGCTTTTAGCAAGTGATTAAAAAGTTTGAACACCCCATGTAGAAAATATTTTTCAATTTCACTTTTATTATGCAACAACACTGTGCAGCTCCTGAAGAGTTACAAGGTTAAGATACTTTTGTTACTGTTAGATTAAAGTGTGAAGCAGGTATGTTATACTTTTACTTAAAATTTCTAGGGAAAACACAGGGGTGTCAAACTCATTTTACATGGTGGGCAACATAAAGCCCACTTTGATCTTATGTGGGCCGAATCAGTGAAACTCCCCATTGTATCAGTGTAAAGAAGTTTAAGATTACAGTAGCTCTTCACCCAGATGCTCCAGTTTTGTGTTGTTAACAAGTTAAGAATTATAAATGGCTTGAAGTGTACAATCAGGCCTGTGAGACTCCTTTAGACACTCAGACATATCATTGATATGTCAGCCAGATGCTGCTCATTTTACGTTTTCGCTCGTTTCTTCACATTTTCCCAACATGCTTCCATGTAAATCCAGCGTCCCCGTCTCTCTGTTGGTCTGCACCACTACACTAAGTAGTGTAAATACTTCAAAAGTATATGAGCTTTTCTTCCTCCTGTACTGAAGGAGTATTAAATCAGAATTTTGCGACAAAAGTGGAAACAACCTCATTAAAGTTAGAAGTTGGAAATCGTGGGTTTGGGGGAAAATGACCCAGGTTTATTTTAAACAAGAGACTCGCTGTTTGATTCAACAGTCTCTATGCTTTCCATTTGAAAATCTAATTCAGATAGAAGATGTATTTGTGTAAAAGGACCACTTTAACTGTATCAACTTTAAAGGGCAGACACTGCTTAGCACATTAGGGTCTAAATACTTTAATTTTAAAATGTATACTAACGTCTGTGCATTACTGCCCAAAGCCACTTTGATAATGACACAGGTGATCGAGGAGTCGTGTATCTTCTCCTCAACTTTACCTGTTGGTCCGCATCAGCTCGACCCCGCTTCATCTCCGGGGTTCCTCCTTCGTTGCGGAGAACCTTGGACTTTCGTTTTTTCAGGGCGTCCGACGACATGAGTAGCTGGATAACAATGGAAAATATGACCTTAAAAGCCGTGAATACCTTTCTGTTAGCAAGCTGGCTAATGTTAGCACTGTGCTACGGTAGTTCATTGGATAGCAATCGTTAGTTTTGCGGCTCATTAAACCACATTAAACATGTTAGATGTTAAATAAACCACAGGCTATGTTCAACTATATATGTATATATAAATATTCACATACCTTCTTTGTGCAAAACCGTTAATCACGAACAAATGAACTAACTGGCAGCTCACACCGCAAAGCGCCCACTTCCAACGGAAGCCCTGATGTACCAAAACACCTCAAACAGGAGGAAGCAGCAGCAACTGCAGCGCCACCTTCCTGTTATCGTTTGTATCGCATTGTTAATGTTCACAAATAGGGTTTCAATCTGTTGAATAATGCTTAAAGCTACTCTAAAAGCTTAACCTTAAAACTGCAAGTTAAGGGTTTGCTAACAATCATATCATGGACGAATATGCTGCAAGTTTGTTTGTTCTTATGCACATAAATAAAAGCTAAAGCTATTTTTGTACAAGTCTTATTTTTCAAGTCATTCCTTTTTTCTATTAAAACCATTAAATGTTGAAAACTATGATCAGCTCAGCTGCTTTTCAGTCTGTTAAGGTTCAGCAGGGATTTCTTTTAGGAGACACTTTTCTTGTGAGACTTGTAGGTCTTTTGCCTCTCGTAAAGCCAATTAACCTGTGGGTATAAATGGTCACCTCCACACAGACCAATACGCTGTCACAGACAAAAAGAAAAATGAACAACACCAAAAATGTACTCCAATTACTTAACTGTTGATGTTACAATAGAAACATTGAAGATAAGTACTGTTTTTGTATGTGTATCAAGAGGACATTATAAACACCGTAACCGTTAAGCAGCTTTTGTATAAAAATGTGCAATATGTGAAAACATATGTACTTTTCACTGTACAAGTACAGTATTTAAAATTCATTTTTGAGCAATAAAGAAAGTCAGCATGCATTCAAAAGTTATTTATTCACAATTCTGACCTCTTAGAGAAAGAGACATATGCTAGAGAAGTTACTTAAAAACAAAAAATATTTCCTGTTTTCCTTATAGTTGTCAGACCTAAATATGTCAGTCCACGCTCATTTTGCCATATCGATCAGACTCTGCAGAGATGTGGGTACCCAAGTCTTCTCTCCTTGCACAAACACCACCCCTCGATCTATGTAGATAACAATACGCCCAAATGTGTACAGCTGTTTTCCCTCATGTCGTTTAGCCACTAAGGGCATGAAAACGATGTTGTTCTCCTCTGCCTTGGCCTGGATGAGATCCTTAAAGTTAGTCGGCACACCGGCGCTGATCCCTCTGTGGGCCACGCTCTCGGCGTCCCTGCGCTCCTGCATGGCTTCATACTGGAAGTCCTTGCGTCTCTCTGTCTGTGTGAGATATGCAATGTTCTCCCTCGCTCCAGGTTGCATATAACCGCCTGAAATGACACGAAAAAAAAGAAAGTTATACTTTGAGTAATACTCATTTTTGTGTGTTTATTATACATCTTCAGACTGTGGAGTACGAACCTATGCCTGAGGAGACCGCACGGTTCATGATGTCCAAAGCCTCATTGAATTTCTCTTTAATGAGGGGCTGGGCCAACAAGACGTCACTAAACATGCTTTTCCAGCCGAGGTACCACTTTGTGATTTCCTCATAGTTGGGACTGTTGCTCAGCCATGAACACAGGACCTATAATCCACAAAAAGCAAAAAAAACAAACCCAAAAGGTATAAAATCCAAAAAGCAATTATATGAAACACCAAAATGCTCAGTTCTGAGTACATTTTAATTCACTGACCTGTAACCATTTCGTGAAAAAGTTTTTGTCAAGCAGTGACACGAGGCTAGAGGGGGACAGCATGCCCTCCCAGTCCAAGACCCAGTGAAATGGCTCCATCTGCTGCTGGTGAGGGTTGATAACCAGCTCTTCCAGACACAAAGCTGCAGAGAGAAAGATCAGCAGTTGCATGAAGAGATATCAGTGGGGCTACTTGAGAATGGAAACGTGGAGGGGTTCATTTTCATTCATGTCTTTGGCACACTGGTGCAGTTTCCTGTCGATTTATAGCTTCTGTTCAGTTGTTTATCGTATTTACCAGGTCTAAACTGAGTGTATATGTTATAAATCCCCATCTTTTGAATGTCACAATTAAAACATCCACTCTAGTCAAAAAAATAGGTAACTGTACTTCTGACTTCTTACACCTGTGGCTAAACCTAATTAATGAGGCAAGGCTTGACTTTAATAAGAGGTTGGCTCATCTCCTTCGATTTTCCTCCCAGCACACACATGACGTCATCACAGATGAAGACATACCTAGTTTAGGGATGATGTTTTTCACCATGAAGGCCTCCCATGCACCTGGTGTGAATACATCTTTCCACGGCTGTAGGATGAGGCGAGCTGAGGCGTCGCTGGGATGCCAGCGCTGCAAGGCGTTGGACAGTTTGCTCCTAATTGGCGGATAAAGAGGCTCTAGACGTGACTGGAGCAGAGGCAGCCAAGGGTGGATCCAGGAGTGGATAGGCACCGTGTCAGTTAAAGGGTTCCAGTTATCTACCTGTTAAACAGGGAACAAAAAGAGAGGTTTACATGTGACAAAACTGCCTTTGATACTGATGGAGGCATAAGGTCAGTATAGCATATAGTAAACAGTTTTTCACTCATAAATAATGGGAGCAAATCAAAAATATTTCTCTTTATCAGCGTGTGTGACGTGCCTCTCGCTGTAATCTGGGTAAGATCAGCTGCTCCAACAGGTGATCCAGTATCCACAGGGGCAAAAGAGGAGCCCACACTTCTACACAGTCCACCATCGGCCCGACCATACGAGGCTGCCAGCCTGACACGCAAGTCCGCATCACTGGGATCCACACTTCCCATAAGAGTCTGAAACACAAAGACCACACGCATTTTACAGACACATGTAGTTAAAAAAAAAAAAAGGTTGGATCACATATAACCAACATTTATTCACATAAATACACAAAGAACAACCTAATATATGTTTGTGTGTTCAAATTTACCTGTGATAAGGATCCATATTTGAATCTGGGCCACTGGAGTGCATATCCCGAGATTCAAGGATTGCTCTCCACTGACCAATATCTTCCAGACAGTAAGAGCTGTCCTGAAATAATAATTAAAATGTGGTAGAGAATTATTAACATGTAAAAAGGATGCAGTTATCTTAAAAGATATACTCGCAAAAATGTACCTTCAGGGGGTCCCAGAAATGAAGTTTCTCTTTAAGTAACGGATGAACAACAGCTACAGCAAGGTCTGCTAAACCCATCATCTTGTATTCTTCATAATAATCTGTTTGCAAGGTCTCAAAGATGCGAGCACACTCCTGAACAAAGAGAAGAACCAAAAATTACTAAAATGATTACATGAAAACTGAGCAAGCACTCAGTTTCCATCCTGTTCTCACTTTGTCTCTGTTTCACAATTTTTGCACATGTTTTTATGTTGTTTTATTCTCCGGTTTTTAAATGATTTTCTGACAGAAGACTGCTTTGAAACTTTACACCTAATACAAAATTCTAAAAAGGTGTAGGTGCTCATTCCATTCTCTTTTTATATGCACCTGCAGAGTAGGACCCTCCCCTGGTGGTGTCTCCCCAGATGGAAAACGCTCCACTAATGCCAGCACAGCTTCCATTCTCTGGATGGCATCTTGCTCCGTATCCAGTCTGTTCTGCAAGGCTCTTGACTCGTGGCTCAGAGAAACAACAACATCTTTTTCATGCTGCAGACGTCTGGCAGACTATACCATATAACCCCATATGAAAAAAGAAAGAGATTAAAAAAAATAAATAGTAAAAATCTGCTAAATTATAAAGGAAGCCCCAGTTTGCTGATCTAATAAGGAGGCATTATCTTAGTTATAGCCAAATATATTTGGAAAAACAATTTTGGTATCCTCATACCTGTAATATGTCCTGTTCTGTAAGGTCTATCAACAGCTGAAGGTTATGTTCAAGCTCAGGGAGCGCAAAGCATGATCCCTTCTGATCCCGAGTAGACATGCTTGGTGGACCTTCATCAGGAACACTGTGCTTGTTGGATATCTGACTGTAACTGTAGTACACCTTCTGCTCTCTTCCAGTCATGTCTATCACCTAGGCACCAGGGACAGGTATGGGGTAAAAAAAGGTTAAAAACAAACAATAATAGCAGAGTGCATGTGCTTATATAGATACACCAAACAACTTCACCTATAGAGTCTAATACTGACTACAATTAACTTTAGCTGCTAAAGTTTGTTGTAAAAATACAGCCAAGCCACAGTGCCCTTATAACACACCTCTGAGAAAGGACAAAAAAGCACTAATACCTTGACCTGTGCCAGCTCCCCAGCAGATGCCGCTGTAGCCCGCCCCGCCACTTTGCCTTTAGCTCTGAGCTCATCTGCAGTTCTGTAGGAGTACTTCGGTTTCTTCTTTCCTGCCGACCCTGCAGGATCCTTACGCCACTGGCCCAGCTCCTTCTGGAACTCCTGCATCAGCACGAATTTAGATTAATGTAAAAAAATGACTCAAATGATTCAACATCTGCTTACACATAGAAAAAGGAAAAGCACATTTATGTGCACACTGTACCTTTTCCTCCTCTTCATCAGAGTCCACCACAGGAAAATCTTGGAGAGACTGCTGGGTTCGCTCATTTCCATAGGCTCCGACTGCCCCCTTTCCCTTACGAACCTTTGCTTCAATAGGGTTTACAATACCTGCAGCAAATAAGAGTGTGGAAAAACAAAGTAGATCAGCTCTGAAATACACACAATACTCTTAAATACTTCATTAATGTGGCCTTCTCAGCCTTTCCCACCCTACCTTGAGCATTCTTTCCCAGGCCTTTTCCTGGTTGGTAGCCCATTTTCTGCAGTAGTTTCTGCCCAATTCCCCTAGTGTGTTTCTCCCAGCTGCCAATGCCATGTCCAGACTGTATGCCACCTGCAAACCTCTGTGACTGATTCCCACGGAAATTACCCTAACAAAACAATTCAGCATATTATTGTTCCTATAAACTTCTTTGAGATATTTATCTGCAATGTACACACAAACAAATCACACATAACCAAATTTACCATTTGGAGTTTTTTGGGTGCACGAGAAGGTGGAGGAGCTGCAGGACCATCATCATCAGAGTCATCAGACCCTCCTTCCCCTTTCAGCTGTTTCTCCTCTGCTGCTGTCTTTCGCAGACCAGCACTCACAAAGTTCACTGGGACACTGTAGTCTTTAGATCTAGCAATGAAAACACAGACAGCAAACTCAATCTCCTACTAATGGCAGACTTTAAAGCTGTGGGCAGCAGCAAAAACAAACCCACGCCTCACCTCTTGCCACCAAAGCTGGGCCTCTCATCTTCGTCTGAATCCCTGTCAGCCCAGATGCCGTAAGTGGCCTGTTCCTTGGTCTGCCTGTGTCTGTGGCGGTCTGGGTTGAACTCGTTGGCCAGGTCCCAGTCTGTCACCTCAAAGCTCTCAACCTCAACACCCTCCTCCTCCTCATCTCTCCGCCCATATAGGTGTGACATGGACATCTCTGGAGATCATAATGAACAAAATCACAATTTAAAGAAATGTAAAAACTCCACATAAGTAATTTCAAATAAATTTGCTCTACTTGTGCAAAGGTTTAGGTAAAGCCCTTGGACATGGGATCAGAATAATAAAATACATCCCTCTCCATAGAAACGGATCAAACTCAATCTACTGTTTAAAGCAATGAGTTGTAGCTCAGAGCACAGGGAAAAACAAAATCAAACACATTATAATAAAACATAACATTTTTCTTATTCCAGCTGTTCTCTTTGGAGGTCGCCACAGCAGATCCTCTAACACTGTCCCTAACATCCTCCTCTAGCACAGCAACATGTCCTCCTTCACTTCCTCTATGAATCTCTTCTGTGGTCTTCCTCTTTTCCTCCTGCCTGGCAGCTCAATATCTTGGATTCCATATCAAACCACTCTCCGTCCTCGTCGTTACTTTTACACCCATTTCTCTCTCATCCTCTCACATGTCCTCTGTTCTCCAGAGCATACCTCCAGCAGTCCAGGCTCTTTCACCTGCTCCCTACTCTAACTACAGACCGCAACGTTATCTGAGAACATCCTACCCGACCTCATCTGTCAGCCTGTCCACACTTTGAGGCTCTATTGCTGCAGATTCCAGATCAGCAACAGTGTCGCAAAAATTAGATCAGTATAAATGTAAAGTAAATTTTTATTTTATAGAGAAGCGTCTTAAACATACACATCACTATCTCAAATATTTGGTTTGCTAGTTGACACTAACGACACCGAACAAATTCATCTCTGTGGAGAAAACGTAATGTAAGCTAACGATAACTAGCTATAGCTAAGGTTAGTTACCCTCTACAGCATGAATGTCTTGCTATACGTAATAATCTCGAGTGTTGAGAGCAGTGCAAACACCATGTTCTCTAACGCACCTGAACAGTTATATAAAGGTCGGCGTGGAGATCAATTGGACATGCTTTCTTTCAAAAACGATGAGAAGAAATCCACACTAACGCTCCTTCGTTTAGTGCACGAAAACACAAGTACTTCCGGTATAATGGTGTTACACCAAATTCTGTACCCCTCTAAAATATTTCATTGGTTCTTAGTAATGACTGTTGGCGTAGAAAGGGCAAAGATGCGTTTATCTCATTGACTTTGCGAAGTAATGTTCGTTTCAGTTGTAAATAATAATAATAATAATAATAATAATAATAATAATAATAATAATAATAATAAAAACACGGTATATAAAACTCAGTTTTGTTTTTTCCCCAGGTTAATAGAAATTCATATTACATCATACTATTAGTTTAAAAAAGCTTCATATGTTAAATATATTAAATGCATTTCAAAATGTATTTATTTGTTTATTTAGTTAGAAAAAATGTGCCTACCCACTTTCAGAATTTTATTTTATTTCGTAGTAATTTGAGGCAATGTTTGAACATGAATACCTAAAAATTATTAAAGATAAAAGTCGCAGTGACTTCACTATAAAAGTGAATCATGATCTGTAATTTGGGACACACTGGTTAAATAAAATATTAAATAAGTACATACAAAAATACATAAAACCACACTGCAAAGTCCTATATGAGAATGAAGTAATAAACAAAATTAGCTAAAAACAACGGGGCAATTTCTAGTTTGCTTTACAATAATATACATAATTATATATAGTAATAGTATATTTAAAAATAAAAATAAATATCGCAGTTTCTTTAAATCAAAATCAACCGAGCTGTGCATTATTTCTATAGTAATTTAATGACCGTACACCACCACCAGGTGGATGTTATTTGATGGACTACAAATTTGGCGTAACGCCGGAAGAGGAAACGCGTGTTACACCCTAAATATTCCCATATGTTGGTCACTTGTCTACTGAAGGAAAAAAATGCGTTTTGTCCTTTGATAATTGGACGATTTAAAAAAAAATGATATGCAGGGATATTGGTGCTAAGTTAGCATAAATGTCGGACACCGGAGGGGAGTGGCAGGTAGCTCGGCGACGAAAAGGTGCGTCGAGGAGCTCAAAGTCTCTTCAGGTGTCTGCAGCATGCGGCCAGGAGTCGCTGGACGTCGGGAAAACCGTTAAACGCATCAGAGACACCATGTATGAAATTCAAGTATAGCTCAGCAGCAACACCTCGGACGTCTCATCTTAACCACAGTCCCATAACTCTTTTATTTTACCTCTGCAGGTCTGAACTAAGATGCGAAGAGTTTTGGCACGATTGGAAGGGTAGGTTTTGCTTTGAAAGTTGGGGTTACCACCAAGAATCTGGCTTGCAGCTGTGTGTGTTATTGCGTTTCTGCCTTTAGAGCAGCTCTTGGTGGCGGCATCAGCATCTCTTTCCAAATCTCCAGCGGACAAGGACGCTGAGGACCAGTCGGAGCGGATCCCCAGGACATGCCAGCAGCTGGAGTGTGTGTGTTATGGCCTCGGTCCGTTTGCCTCCTGTGTCTCAGCCCGCTACCAGCTTGCCATGTTGCTTCTTCTACTGGAAGCAGGACAGGTCAGGGGAGGCTTTATCATCGGTTAGATGACAAACACTCACACTAGACCCTGCTTGTTATACACATTCTGTGTCTCCCTGTTAATGTCTTCAGATTCCTCTAAAGGACTGCTCAGTCTATGATCCAGTCTTCTCTTCTGGAGAGAGAGATGTTTTGAGAGACCTGGGTCTGACTGTACTCTCAGAAAATGAGGTCAGTTGTTGCTCCCTCGTGTCCTGGTAATTAAGTGAAACACTGTTAATAGGCATATACTAAAGAGAACTGTGTCATATAGTACATAAAACTTTACAGTTCTTCCAAATGTCAACTATATTATTATTTATTATCCATTTTATATTGAAAATGGGGACTACAAAATTGTTTAGGGGAGTAGACTGCGCAAACAGTGTGTGATCCTCTGTGTCTGTATTGTTCAGGAGGGGAAACGTTTGGTAGAAAAACCCACATTTTTTTACCTGATGCATTGTGGGAAAGCCCTCTACAACAACCTTCTGTGGAAGAACTGGAGTGCACGGGGTCTCCCTCTGATGATAATCATCGGAAACAGCTTCAGTGGGATGAGGGATAGGTTTGTACGAGACGACACGTAGACGATGGAGTAAACGTTTAAGCAAGAGCAGTGGAGATGAAGTTGACATCTGTCTGTTTCCCCAACAGAACGATCGAGAAAGAGTTTACGCGAGACTACAGCTACATCAGTAAGGCTGTGGATTTTAGTGTGGAGAGAAAGCTTGCATGCCCATCTCATCTGATAGACGTCTTCAATGACACAGCAGTCATCACATTTCCTTCCAACAGCCTTAATGGACTCCCACAGTCTACCTGGGCAGAGTCACCTGAACCACAGTACCCACACAGCCCTGATTTGGAGATTATACTGAAGGAAACTCAGAGCTGAGGCAGGAGATGGATATAGGACATTTGTTATTGACTGTTGTCATTCATATGACAAGTTGTTTTTTTAAATGGACCTGTTGTACTTTTACTTAATTATATATGGTGACAATGATGGGTTTTCATATTAAACATCAACCAAGTTTCAGAGTTTTCCAGTGAGCTAGAACCTCAGGCATCAGACTGCTCTAAACTAAGACCATCAGAGAACCTTAATTTGGTCAGTTCCAGATGTATGGGACAGAAGCCCCACCCACTTACTGTTCAAACCCTCTGTTTGTCAGCAGAAGCCAATCAAAAGAAAGCTGGCATAAAATGGAGAGCTAAAACAGCTTCTTTACAAACAGTGACAAATTGAGGGGCTGGGCATGAAGGCCCACTATAAAACAAGGATTATTTTGAGCTGTGGACCATGCAATCTATTCAAGAGCACAAGAATTAAAAATTGTTGGAACAAATCCTGCTCATGTCTGACTTTATTCAGCCGTAACAAATTCTTTAATAGAACTGTAACATTTTGTGTGTCTGGTCCTGAATTAGCCACGATACAACCAAAGTATGCAAAAGAGCATATCTGAACACACAATGTTGAAGCAGGTGAGATTCAGCAGCAGAAGACCACACCGGCTGTCACTCTTGTCAGCTAAGAACAGGAAACTGAGGCAATGATTTGCATGGATCCGTTCTGCCTTATATCTATAATTCAGGCTCGTAGTGTTGTTTGGGAGATTTTCTTGACACTTTGGCTCTTTAGTGCAAACTAGGCATTATTTAAACACCACAGTGTGCCCATCTTCTGATGGCTGCTTCGAGCAAAATAACATGTCATAAAGCGCAAATCATAAACTGATTTCCACACCCCACCAAGCAAACACACATTAGCATGTTACAAAAAAATTCAACTTTTATCAACTCCACAGATTTTATTTATAATCACATTAATAGAAATTCTCATAGGGTTGAACAGTCACATTGGTAATTTAAGTATATAAAGACAATAAGTTGTATTTCTTATGTTTGGACCAATCAGATTCAGTTTTATATAGAGTAGTAAGATTTTATAAAAGCTAACCCTTTTTATTTTACAGTCTAACTTCCAGTGCTTCAGCTCACATGTGTACAAATAGAACTTTAAATTTGGTTGGTTCGTTGGAACAGATGCATCCTGAGTTACAGATGAGTTTAGAGTTTTAAAATTCACATGATATAAAGTCATGTCATGTAAGTGCATTAAGAAACAAACCTGAAGGCACACTTTAAATACACCAAGGTAAAAAGTTTATTATTGAAAAAACAAAAAACAAACAAGGTTAAACCCTCTCAGAGTCAGTACTAAGGTAAAATCTTCAGGATAAAGTAATAGTCATTCTGTCCTTGTTCATTGGATCAAATTTCATCAGGAAATACTGGAAGAGTTTTTTTTAAATCTTACAGCAGTGACTTTGGAAAACTATTACAACTGTTTGTTGGCTTCATGATCATTCTTCAGCTGGTCCATTGGCAGTGCTGCCATCTCCTTCTCCATTTACGGCTGTAGCTTTGCCTCTGGACTTTGAAACAACATCTGCCCAGCTCACGTCACTTCTCAGGGCCGATGGGCTTGCAGGGACGTCCATCCTTCCATTTATTTCGCCTGAGCTCGACTCCATCTCATCATTTACCGTTTTGACCTCATCAGAGGCCACTTTGTCACCTTCTGCACTGGTTTTCTCCTTTTGCTGGTTTTGCTCAGTCACATGACAATTAGCTGAAACTTTCCCAGTGCTCTCAAGAGATCCTTCTACTTGTTGGTCCTGCTGGCACTTGCTTGTATCCTCTGCTGGGTTTCCCCCACCCTCTGGTTCCTTCCCACATCCCTTTTCTCGGTCTGAACGTTTCCCTCCTCCATTCACAGCCACTGAGGCGACATTAGGTAGTTTTAGTCCCAGCTCTTTCACCACTGCAGCCTTTAGCTCAAGATGTTTCTGCTTATACTCCTGGAACCTATTACTGTGAAAACATTCGTGTCATAAGTGGGTTTATACATAAGAAATGCTAATACTGAAATAAGCCACATACAATCCAACTAGAATTTAAAACACCATTTCTAAAGTCCATTTTTGGGTCCAGGCTTGAGACGTGCATTGTCATATTGCTTTAACACTGGGTATGCCATCCCACTATGAATATTTACCTCTGTGTAATATTCCTGATCCCCGTAACTAGAACCATCTGCTCCAGAATAATGTCGGGTGTTGGACTGAGACACTGCGGGAAATGGAGAACAATGGGGTTTAGCATGCTTTACTTTTTCCCCTTTGAAAGAGAGTTGCATATGCTTTCAGGCACCTACCTCCACAGTTGCTTCTGTGCACTCAGCTCCTGCCTGTCTGAGAGTGCGTTCAACTTTTACTGCTTGCTTGGTTATGGTGGACAGGAAGTCTTTGCTGCAGCGTGTTTGTGGGTGATCTTCTCCAAACTAAAGAGGGGGGCAGGAAAAAATAAAAATAAAAAATTTAAGTCTATGCAAATACAGTCAGTCACCCACTTTACTTCCTCTCTCAAACTTTTACTGACCAGAGAGGTAAAGGCAGTCAAGGCCTCTTTCTCATGTGTCATAGCACTTCTGTAGTCACCCTTAGTGCACATCCACTGGGCCAACAAGTGCTGACTGCACAGACAAGAATCAGGGAGAAAAGTGGTCATGTTTTGGGGAGAGACAATAGACATCTCACTGACTTTTTATTCAAAATATTATCAAGAGTATAAATCACATCTTACTTTAGAGCAGTCTGTAGACATGTGGGGCCAAAGAAGGAAGTGTTAAGTCTCACAGCATTCTTTAGGAACTGGCCTGTCTGATCTTCTGCTAGCACCAGCCCAAGGCAGTTCTACAAGAAGAAAAATGTTAGCACTTTCATATAGTCATGTCACTTTTCATTATATTGTCAAAAGCTTTTCTTCTGAGCATTCCAGACTCAAGTCCATCAAACCTACATCCAGTGTTGCGGTGTATGGATGGTCTTCTCCGTGCACTGTAAGCATTAACAGACGAGCTCTGAGGAAACACTTCTGTGCCAGGGTGGTCTCCCCTCCAGCATACACATACACACCTAAGAGGGCCTACATACAAAAACAATGGCAACTGTGACTTTGCAATGACTGGATAAAGTACATTCTCTAATATACAAATGTGTAGCTGTACTCACGTATTGCTGAATCGCGTTTGGATGATCAAAGCCGAGCACCCTCTCACTGATGACAACTGCCTTCAGCTGGACACTGCGGGCCTTAAGGAGAAAGAAAGTCAGATGAGAAATAGATAGTTTCATCTATATTAAAAGGAACAGTTTAGGGAGGGAGCAGTGCATACATGTCTGCATCAATCAACCAAGAGAGTAATGCAATGCAGATGAGACAAACAAAAAATACAGGATCACCTTCGCCTTACACATACAGCAGCTGCTCAGCCATAGAAACCTGTGTCATGAAACTCCTGATGCAGTTTGTGCAGATGTTAATGTTTTATAGAGGCCGATTGGTGAGTCAGAGCCTTTGTGACCCTGTTCTAACTTTGTGGTCTGGCACACTGTGGCCGAGTTGCTGTGGTTCCTAAATGCTTCCACTTTGCAATAATGCCACTTACAGTTTATGGTGGAATATTTAGGAGGGAAGAAATTCCACACACTGACTTGTGCAGCAGTGGCTTCCCACTACAGAACCATGCTCAAATTCAGGAAGCTCTTTAGAATGAGCCAATCTTTCACTAACGTTTGTTAAGGCAGACAGCATGAGTAGGCATTTGGTTTACACACCTGAATTCAAAGATTTAAAATGTGTGGCCCAATAATTTGTACATCTGCTCCAACTAATGCTGCAGTGTTCTCTCAAACGTGGCATAAATTGTTTTTCAAAGATCCAGTAAAGCCGTCCTATTATTTTCACCTCTATTATGTGTTAATGTTTGTGGCTAACAGAAACCGTTGATCAGTCAGCCTACCTCAGCAGTTTTCCCCTGGAGGTACGCCACCTTGGCCAGCAAGGTGTGGCAATAACCAGCCTCAGGGTGCAGATTGTCACACGCTCTACCATACAGGTAAACCGCTTCTTTTAACTGCTCATGGGCCTGATCCAGCAGACCTGCAATCATAACACACAGCTTATTTTTCAGTAAATTCACACTGCGGGGAAGAAAATAGAGACAATAGTCTGCAGCTGTTGGACTTACCCTTCTGAATGGAGAGCTGTGCAGCTTGATATACTTTAGAGGCATCCACAGTTGGCATGTTAATGTGCTTGACAACAGGGATCATGTTGATGATGTCCTCTGGACCAATAGGAGCTTTGTTTTGGTTGTCAAAGGAGTAGTCTCTCAGTCTCAACTAGTGTGGATACAGGATTAAAAAGTGCCTTTCCCTTTTAATATACAGAATTTGATTTTTAAAAGCTAATTTTGCAACTTAAATGTACATATTAATATCCATATCCTCTCCTTGGACTGACAAATTTAAAACTGCATTCATATTTCCAGATGTCTGTTACCTGTACACCAGTCTTTAAACAGAACTCTCTCAGCAAGGAGAGCTTCTGCAGGCCATAGTGCTCCACCAGGTAGTTTGGCCCAGAGCTGTTCCACAAAAAAAAACAAAAACAAAACAAAACACAGGTTGTTCTCAAATTGATTCTCTACTATTAGATAATAAATGCATGTGGAGAACAAAGGCCATGCCCTCACCCCAGGCTATCAAAGACATAGGTTTCAGCAGCATCCTGGCAGACCAGGTTCCACAGCTCGGCTCCCGTGAGTGTGCTCCAGGGTGTGCTTTCAGAGGCCCCGGCCCCTCGGCCACGCCGTCTTGACTTCTTCTTAGTATCCTCTCCTACAGAGGTGGGCGGGAAGTGGGGAACCAACAGGCAGCTAAGGAAGTGACTGACGGCTGCGGAGAGACTCGACACATCCACGCCCTACAGAGACATGAATGGAGGCTTTAGTTCATTCCTTGGAAACCACACCTGCTGCCTTTTTAAAACCCAAGGTGTGAAAACATGGGTGATTAATTGGAGTTCTCATCAAGGAACATTTAAAAAAAAGTACCTGGAGGAAACTGTTGAACACCCTTCTTGTTGAACGAATAAAAATTTCAGCTACGGCCGTTCTCTGGTGAAAACAGGAAGGAGCATGTAAGAAAGCAGCATCACCATAAAGACCGAATTAGGCTTTGTTTTTAAAGTTAAACGAACCATTATATGCCTCAGGTGCTCCTTGTGTTCTGACTGGGCAATAGCCTTGACCACATGGCCCAGGTACCGGAGGTTGATGCCTCTCTGATGTAGAGCATTTTTTAGAGTAGCTCCATCCATTGGAGCCTCACTGTTGTGCAAACAACCCTCCAACTGCAGACACAAACAGGCATCTAGTGAACAGGTTTGTTTTCAAAAGACACCATTTGGAGCACATTAACTCTGGTTGGACTTACAAAAGCTGGTATCTGGTGTGTGATGATGAAAGCTGCCGCTTCCCTCAGTAACCGTTCCTGCAGCTTTGTTGATGTGCTTTCCCCCGGAGGAAATGCTACCCCTAAAATTTGTACAAGCAGCGTGTCATGATGCGTTCTAATGAGAGCTCTGCTATAGCATACTTGTGTAGTTAGTCTGCATACCTGGAGAAAATACATTTGGATTAAAGCGCATCTCAAAGAGGATGTCACTAACTGAGCCCACGTCTTTACACGCAGCTCGGACAGCAGCAGTGGCTCGAGAGTCACCTGCGAAAAAGAAATAAATGACAACTTCACTTAAAATGTGCTGAAGTACAGCCATAATTTCAGTGTCCATTCAGTAAGAACTACTAACACCTTACCAGATGTGGCACATTCTTCAAATCCTCCATTTTCATCCAACAACTCTCTGACACGCTGAGTGAACTGGCAATGTCTTAAAAACAAAAGAGAAACTTAAACTTCGTGAAAACTTAAAAGTTTAAAATAAATCTTCTGATTTACTACTCACTTGTGTTGACTGAAAGCCTGCATCAGTTCTGGTCTCAGTCTGCAGAGGCCATGAGGAAAACTCCTTGGAAGGTCAGTATTTGCATGATAATCCTCTGGCCAACCTTCTTTTATACAGTCATTCTTATTCTCATTACTCTCTTCTTCTCCAGT